TATATATATATATATATGTAAATTTAAACTTTCATTAATCAAAATAGTTCAAAATTACGATAACTCAACAGAATAAAGAATTTTTTGTTATAGTTTTGCTTTTGAGGATTTAGATCTAATTTAGGATGTTTTTTGTTTTGAATTTTCTAATTAGGTTTAAGGTTTTATCTTGCGTAAAAGAAAAGATTTTTTCATTTCTTTCCTTTCTGGGGTGTCTGAAAGGATCTTAGTTTTCCTACTTTTTCTGCTTTTATTTGTTTTTTTATGAGTTAGAGCTTTTGGATATGATCTTACAGATTTAATTGTTATTGTGTGCTGTGATTGTAAGACATTACTTATACTTGTTTGCTCATAATTCTTATAATCCACTTATAAATCTTATTTTTGCATAACTATGCCTTCAGGCTTATTTAGAATTTGATGGGAATTATCAGAAGTAGCTTTCCTGAATGTTTCTGTCAAAGGACAATTAGTCACTTTAGCACTTTAAAACTTGTATATGCAGAAAGCAATGCGTAAAAAAGAATATATTCTAGGTGTAGAAAAATCTGAAACAATGTTCGCAGCAATATAAGTTGTATTACATGCTGGTGTTACTATGCTGACTAAATTGTGGGATAGTGTTTTCTATTGTTTTCCCCGGATTGCGTACAAGCCAGTCGTTCTGAGAAATCGACAGCTTTTGCTAGAAAGGACCAATAACAGCCACATCCAAAGGTTGCATTCTGTGAGTGCAATGAGGAGGAAAAAACCCTAACCCTAAAACCACCATTCCATTTTCAAAACAATAATTAATGGCATCTAATGTACAATGGCTTTCATGATTATCAATTAAGAGTAAACAGGATCCTCTTTCGAACATCTGACTAATTTTTTTTATGTGTTCTAGCACCTTTAAAAACAGTTTCCATAACCAATACAACCCGGAGGTCCTACTTTTAACATGGTGTCATGAAACCGTGCTCTGGGAAATATGAGGACAGGGAGAATGAAATTTTCTATGGCATTTCCTATACCACACAAAGTAATTAGATTTCCACTTTCAGCAGATACACACTGTCCAACTCTTTTTGTTTCACGTGATGCTAAAACTTGGGGTGTTTGTACTACTGTGATTATGTTGGTTTCATCGATATTTTAAATTCTATCAGGAGTAAAATGATGCTTTTTTAATACTTTTTCAAAATTATCAAAAACTGATTTACATTGTGCTCTTTAAAACTTGTTGAGCGAGACAAACTTGTATTTTCAGGTTTTCGAAATGAAAGTTCTTGGTGGCGTTTCATGAAGCCTTTCAACCAATCTATACCAGCTTGTTTATTTTCCATCCATTTACTAGGACATTTGCAAAGTCTCATTGTATAATGAAATGCTAGTTCCTGCGCTTGTTTATATGTCAACCCATAGTTCATTTTAGACCTCTTATTAAATAGTCTTTCAACATTATATCCTCATCTTTATTAAATACTTGTGAGAAAGTATATTTACTTGTCATATCTAACTTGGTATTGGATAATAAATTGATGAAACTTTTCTTGACATCGCACAGTGACTCAAATTGAAGAAAAAACGGCAAAAATTATATAACCATCGCATGTTAATATGTATTAAAGAAATTGTTATTATTTTTTTAGTCAAAAGATCAATTACGTATTTTTAAATTATTTTTACGCGCAACAAACAGCAAAACGTGCGCGTATCTAAAAAATACGTACGTAAGAAATTTGATACGCGCAAGCAGATTTTTTTTTTTAATTTAACTTCGAATCAAGTAATAGTTTGCATAAATACATAATTTATTTTTAAATCTTTTTTTAACTCTCTCCAACTTGTAATCAGGCGTGATCACTCGGTACACTACCATCCAAATTTGTCATAATTATTACCGGGCCCCTCCCCTTTTGTTAAAAACAATGATTGAAAGAACTTTAAAAAAAATAAATAAAAAAATTCATTCCAATACAATAAAATTCATTGAGCATTACTATTATAACTATTTCAAATTTTAGTTCATAAAATAATTTATTTTTAATTATTTCAAATTTATTTCATCAATTATTACCCTCCTCTTTTGATAAAAACAATGATTGAAAGAATGATAATTAAAAAAAAATTCAGACATCAACAAAGAGCATATAATAGTTATACTCTGAGAATTAGAATATACTTTGAAAATTACTATTATAACTATTCTAAATTTAAATTTTTGATGCAAATTTATCTATAAAAAATAAAATTCTCAAAAAAATCACGACTGTTTAAGAAGAGAAAGAACTTTTATTGGGAGCAATTTCCCATTTTCACATCTATGGTTAGTGAATTGAATGCTCGATATAACTGGATCACTCCTTATCATAAGATAGTTAAATTGGTTTTTCATAACATTTATCCTTGAAATTTTGCATGAATGGTTTAATCTTGTATTTCTAATCTCTTTGTTAAGAGCCTCTAGTGATTCTTCTGAATAAACTCCAATGGGAAGTTCTAATGCATTGGCAATCTGTAAACCATGTTCTAAAAGTTTGTGAACGCTTGGAGGAATAACATACCAATTATATTCAGAAAGAATTTTATCTGTTGTATCATTGCAATAACTTTGAAAAGAGCTTGGATCTAAATCATATCCTGAACAAACTGCTTTTAAAATTGTTTCAAGTCTAGAAATGATGTCAACATCTACACCAGTTATCTCAGAGAAGGTAATCGATTCCTCAAAGGCTCTTCTGGCAGTATTACCATCATTAGTGTTTCCAAAACCTTGTTTTGGCATGTCAACAATAAGACTTAGTTCTTCCCTAAACTTCTTTTGAATAAATGGTTTTCTTTCTTTAACTGATTCTTTCTGCTCAGATGTTTTAGCATAAAATGACCTAATTTTCAATTTATATCCAAGGTGAAGAATGTACTCAAAGCATCTTATCCAACAGTGAAGAGGTGAAAGGCCAAAAAATAAAGCTTCTTTATTGACAGGTTTAGATCTAATCAATTTAATGTCATTCATCTCTGTTGGCTTTGCTGAACATACATTACAGCTTTGAGAAGAGGTAGTACTTGTCAGTGCATTAATAACCTTACCATCAAACATAGTCAAATCCAAATTATACTTTATAATTGCTGTCATCATAGATGACTCAGTCGGTTTTGATTCTAAGCTTACTACAAATGGTTTAAGTTTCTGAATTTCAATCCGTAATCGTTCTTCTTCTTCTTTAATTAGCACATTTGTTTCCTTCTTGTACTGCAAACATACTGGTCTGTAGAAATGTGTACTAGATGGTTTTTTGTTGTACCAGATTACTGTATCATTAACAGTCAGTTTAAGAGGCACAATAGATGTTTGGAAAATACTCTCTTCATTTTTAATAACTTCATCTAGAGTTGTATCTAAATATTTTTGTTTATACAGACTCTGGCTAGACGCTCCATCAAAACCACCTTTGAAATGCATAATTCCACGTTGATTGATATCTTTAACCGATAATTCAGAAAATATTTTGTTGCAACTATTTAGACTCAAGACTCTACACAGTGTGTGATTAAAAAGAGATTGAAGGGAGAAAACTGCAGATGTTTCTGAAAAAATCATATTATCAGGATAGCATTTCTTTTTTTCAGTTAAAATTTTATGAAGAGACATATAGATGTTTGCATTTTGTAATAGGGAGCTATTTCTGATTATCTGATATTGTTCATCGGACAGATCACATTGAATTTTTAGGCTGAGAGCATCTTCAACTTTCATTTTAACAGGTTCATGCATAGACATGTTTTTTCTAATTTCATTTGCTTTATCTGGGTCCAAAGCCTTCTTTACTATAAAGATAAAATTGTTTTTATTAATGTTAGATTCAGTTGCAGCACTTTTTAAAGAAGCTAAAGCCAATGCTTCATGATGGTTTTCAGCCAAATAGGCAATTTTAGCTCTTTTGCTTCTTTCACCAAGATTTTCCCAAACTTTATTTTTTCTACCTGACCTACTTTAGATTTAATTCTTTTAACAAGATCTGGAAAAAACTCCTCCTGTAAATAGAAATTTAATTAAATAAAATGAGTGCATAAAAAAAATTTATTAAGAAATATTATTGTTTCTTTACCTGTAGCCAAACACCCTCTTTTAAAATCAATCTGTCATAGTTTCTATTATGCTTTTCTAACTTATTTCCCACTTTTGCTTTAAAAACAGACAACTTATTCTTTAAGTTGGTAAGCTCTGATTTATTGAAGTCATCTTCATGAAGATTATAAACATTTAAAACTTCTTTAAACAAAGATTCCAGCAAATTAACTTTATTGAAACCTAGTCCTTTAATTTTTTGAAGAAGATCAATTCTTTTCATTTTTA